TACTCATTGTCTGACAGTTGACAATAACGGTATTGTATATAATTATTTCAAAATAATATATTATTTAATTAATTGTTTTAAATAATTTTTAGATATGTATTATCCGGAGCAGTTTCTTATGGACATAATTATTATGACGTAGCGTATGTACGCCGTGTAAATACATGGGAAAGGCACAATGATTTGGCAAAAAAAAATTTAAAGTACCCCTTGTTCAACAAAAATGAAACCACATGTAATTTTATATCTGAAAGAGTAAAAACAAAAATTGTTATTAATTAATGTGAGCTCTTATTTGATGGCCATAAGTGTATAATATTCAGTAAGCCATGTTATATTCCTTCGAATAAAAAGTAAAAAGAATTAATAAATAAATTTAAAAAAATTTAAAAAAATAAATTATTAATTTGTGTTTATTGTAATATTACCATGTATTAAGACTATGACGGTAAGAAACAATTATTTTATATTAAACTTATATTAAATAGTAGACCGATATATCATATATTATGTAAAATACTTCTGTAAGTAGTATATTTCAATTGTGTATTACATAATATAATTTTAAACTTTACTATAAACTATACCTACGTATAAACACCAATGATTGGTATGATTTTTGGACTCAAAATTATAAATAAGTTAGCGGCTATTTGCAAAATGTTAACAGCATATTTCAATTCGTAGCTCAAAAGGGGGTGTGGCGTGAAGTTTCCCCCCATCTTATATTTTTCGTACCTTGTGGGAAATTTATTTGCAAATTCTGAAAACCAATTTGCAAATGTTTTCAAATTATTTGCAAAATTATTGATAGTATCTTGAAACCGTTGGCTAAATATAGAGGGGCTGCGTGAAGTTGGCCCCCCTGTCTTATTTTTTTTATTCCTGGGAGGGAATTTATTTGCAAATATTTGCAAATTATTTGCAAAATGATAAAAAAAACTTTCAAAAAAATTGGTCATGGAGGGAGGGGGACAACTTCACGCACGTAAAAAAGGGGGTGGTGAGCCTGCTTAGTGAATCACATTGAACACAACAAATATGATGTATGATATTTTATTTTTCTCCACAATTATAAATACAATATAACTGGTATGAACAATAATTGTTAAAATTGATTTCTGTTTCAAAAATACTTCTAAAATATTTAAAAAATACTTCATAAATACATCCCAAATTGAAGAGACTATAATTGTAATCGTTATGAAATAAACCTTAAAAGAAAACATTTTAATTTAATATAAGTGAATGATAAAAATAATGTGAACGTTGAACAATAAAATAAAATGAAACAATGGTCGCTGGTCTCTTTTATAATCGATAACCTCCTAGTAAATAGTGTTCAATGTAAGGTGTTCATTTAGTAAAATCAAACAACCAAAAAAATATATTATTGAACACCGTTTTTTATTGTTACACTTGAGTTTATATGTATTTAATAAACAAAAAAAATGCACAGGAATAATTTGTAGCCTTGTAGGTATTTAAACACATGCCTGAAGTACCACACTTATTATATTATAAACACATGCTTAATTTTATATATTTTTTTTAACTAGTGTTTTTACTCAAATTCAATAAATACTCTTAGGTGTTCTTTTATAATACTACTACGTAAAATAAAACAGCATTATAAATATACATTTTTTTAAACTCAATAAGATATGAAAAGTTTAGTTCATTTGTCTTTTGTATTAACACATTAAGAATACTGAGTAGATTTATTAAAATTGTTAAAATAAAATAACTTAAAATGTTATCCAGTAATTATTATATACTATAACAAGAGTCAAGTCAAATTAATTAAGTTACAAGAATACAATAGAACGACAGATTCCGACAGTGGTTTTTACACAACACATTCGAGTACGAATTTGATACGAATTTCTCATGACATATTGTACGGGTTGAGCCCTTGTTATAACTGATTGATTTTCTTCTTTTTAACTATCAACATATTTTCTTTCCATGATTTTTGATTACTCTATTTCTTTATTGGTCTCTAACTAGTTTCAAACAATAATTGTATGGTAACCTGCTCCCTATTAATAAATAATAATAATATAAAAAACACAACCATAAATCTGCTCGCAAACACACTTTACAGGAAAACTCTCAAGTCTCGCAGACCAACTTGTCTTTCAATAACATTAATTAAACAAGCATAGTTATTCTAATGTTTAGTACCTAATAATAGTTGATGAATTATTTCAAACATCAATAAACTATATTGAATTTATTCAATTACTAATTTCCAAATAATATTTATATTTTAAATTATTATGTGATAATTTTATACAGACTTTTATATATAATCTATGTACAATATGCATATAGGATACCGCCAATAGCTGGCGGTAACTATTACAAAATATAAAGCCAGCATTGCAACAACTGATTAAACTGCCACCATGTTTCCAGATGGCAAAACATTATCTTTAGTTATGCAGAATGCATAAAGAATAAGTCAGAACAATAGTTTTAAAAGGTAAAAAAAAATAATTCTAGAAAAATAATTCATATTTTTTAAAAGAAAAAATTAGTAGGTAGGTACCAAGAATAATACTTATTTATATTATTTTAAATAATATTAACAATATAAACTACAGTTTTCATTTATTCATACATTATTAATTTTTAAAATATATGTACTGCTTAAAATATGTAGATCACATCAAATATCTTGGTATACATATATAATATATATCGTGACATAAATTAAAATAAAATGTAATATTATTGGTTATTACATTTTATTAACTTCTAAACAGACGGCGTTGACTAATGACCATACATTTTATTTACCTTCGACATCTAATTCTATGGTTCTAATCTAAGATTATTTTTGTTACCATGTATTTGGCGGATTTTAAAAAAAAGAGTTTCTAAATGATCTTGAGAACATATTTTATAAGTTGACAGATATTTATATTGGTGATTAGTGATTACTGTTTTTAAGGAGTTCGAAATAGGCAATTTTCAAATTTGCTTACATGCGGGTCTTATAACTGTGTGCTTAGTACCTAAGTGATGATTAGTGTGTGTGACTGTGTGTAAAAGAATTAAGAATTAAGAAATAACGAAGCGTTCCCACAGGCTCTTGTACAAGTCATCTACTCGGCGTTACAATTGTGAACGGTAAACAATAATTTATGTTCATAAATTTGTATGCACTTTTTGTTCATCCTGCCGATCGACCAAATAATGCTATAATATTTTAGTAAACTCATCCGAATTCGTTATAATATCTACTTGAGATTGGTCAGTCCACATTTTAAGATTTCTGAATTAAATTCCGAATAATCAACTTTTGAAAATTCCAAAATTTCAAAATATTCAAACTAAATGTATTGTTGACGGGGGGGTGAAAGTGGGAAAAGTAGACTGACCGATCTCAAGTAGCCATAATAACAAATTCAAATTAGTTCTAAAATGTATTATCTTATTACTAGATTGGTATAATTTTGTGCGGTCAATGTTAACTTTTTAATTCATAAAAGTAAATTTTTTACTTTGGACACCTACCTATATTTAAGTTTTTACATTTTGTAATAATGAAATGGACAAGGGCTGGTCCAATTATAGATTTCCCGTATATATTTGCTGGTGCCGAATAGTTGCTCCAGTCCACCCCTGATATTATACACGAAAAATTAAATTTGTTTTGTTATTATAATTATATAATATACCTAATAACAAAAAGCTTTTGTATTTTAAAATGTATATTATATTATTGAATATAATATTCTTAAAGTGGATTAGAAATAACTATAATCATATAGTGCATACCTATACTTCCTTTTTCTACACAATAGTTAGGTGAGACTGAGCCTCACTTGCCTGATCTGACGAGTCTCCACTGCTGCTGGCTATATTACTATTTACTAATTACTATGCAAATTGAATACCAAATTTCCATTCGAGACTGTATGTCAGTCTAGGATATTTTATATTGTTATTACTTATTAATTATTATTAATACGGTAGTCGGTAAGTTGAATTAATAATATTCTTAAATTATCAGTGATGCTGTAAAAATATTAAATATATTTTTGTAAAATTGAGCTGTTTTGGAATCGAATTATCACAAAATGACCGAAATCGTTATTCTTAGTGTTAAAATTTAATTTTGTCCAAATTTGAACATTAAATGTTTGTAAAAAATAACTGTATTATATATATTTATATTTTTTAATTACCTACGGAAAAAAATGGAATCTTGTTTTAAATGTTCAATCCTTAGCTATCGACAACTATGTCGAATTTTGGTAATTTTTTTTTTTCTGAAAGTCGAGAATTTTTTTCAGATCGTATTAAAGCCCTAATTTTCAATTTACTTTAGGTAGTACTAGAAAAATACGTTTGAAAAACTCAAAAACAACAAACATTGTGCATTATTCAAATTCATATTTATGCTCCTATAATATGAATAATTATAAATTTTTTAATTAAAAAAAAATTAATAAAATTTGACTATTCTACAGGGAGTTTTTCGTGTAACAAATGGTTCTGTACTAAAAACGCTTTTAAGTATAATTTTAAATTTTTGAAAAAGCGGTAATATCAAGAATAAAGAGATTTTATAATTCGCACGTAGAAATTATGAATGTCCAGTAGGTTGTAGCATTGATTATAAATACTAGTATTTATAATCAATGGTTGTAGGTAACATAGTATATAATTTACTTTTAAGTTACAGATGGCTTTTACAAATATTATCTTAAATTGTAGTTGAGTCCGAGCATGCTGGTCAGGTTAGAAATTATTGTCAACAATATTACGGTTTATCATTTATGGCCTTATGGAACTAACGGACGCAACTATGCAAGTAACGACAGTATGAAGGCTCAAGGCTGTCAGATTCCGACTACCCGGCCCGATTTAAACCACGATTTAAGATAGTACTATCTTAAATCGTGATGTGAAATACGTGAACAACAAGAACTCCGAAACGAGATAACGATTTGTCCGGCACAATTTTCGTAGCTAACTTCCGTCTAGTAAATAATCCAAGAATGACGTGGTTACGCGGTGTTCAATTTTTATTTTAAATAAATTGTCTGTTCGTTCTAGAAGAGTTCTTTTTCAAATTTGAAATTATATTATTTTGTATTTAAAGTTTCCTTACCAACACTCAAGATGTTTGACGGATTCCTGGATGATTTGAAACGCATGAATAAACGACAAGTAATGGAAAACAATTATGTTAAATTATTTTCACATTAGAGCACAGCCTTTTCGATTTTTTAACATATTTTGGTATATTATTTGTTTTAAATATCTCTTTGTGATTTTAGTTCCTCTATCAAGTATTAAGTTTTGGAATGATTGTTTCATCTGCATTAATGATATGGAAAGGTTTGATGGTTTTTACTGGTAGTGAGAGTCCAATTGTTGTTGTTTTAAGGTAAAATAGACATACTTTTATCAACATAAAATATTTTGATTGTATATTATGTTAAAAAATTGTTCTTTTATTAAAGATTTTTAATATCATTACTTATTCCTTATTCTTTGTTTTTAGTTGCATGAATTTAAAAATCTCTTATTTAAACATGATAAATATTTTACAGTGGTAGTATGGAACCAGCCTTTCATCGAGGTGATCTATTATTCCTAACAAACTATGAAGAAGAACCAGTCAGAGTTGGTGAAATAGTTGTATTTAAAATTGAAGGACGTGATATTCCTATTGTGCACAGGGTTTTAAAACTGCACGAGAAGTTGGTTTGAATTAAAAATTATAATTTAAAAAAATATGGCTGTATCACTTTTTATTTTTTCTAGAAATAATGGCACTATTAAATTTTTGACCAAAGGCGACAACAATAGTGTAGATGATAGAGGATTGTATGCTCCTGGTCAACAGTGGCTTGAAAAATCTGATATGGTTGGCAGAGCTAGAGGATTTTTACCATATGTTGGAATGGTCACAATTTTAATGAACGAGTATCCTAAAGTCAAAGTATGTATTAGATTTTATTTCATTAAAATTAATTACAAATTTGGTGATTTTTAATCAATTCTATAAAACAATACTTGAATTTATAATTTTCCATATGATTGTATTATTAAAAAAAAAAAGAACTAGGAATGTTCTTTACCGTATAATAGATTTTGAGTATACCTCATAAATCACTGCAATTGATTTGTTAAATTTAAAAACCCATTCTGAGCAGGATATTTTATATGTTATTTATACTATCATAAGTGACCGATTAATTATTTTACTGTTAATAATGTGGCACGTTAAATTAATTTTTGTCAAAAAATGTGCTTATATTATTATTTAACTTATAAGTCATTACTGAGTAGTTGGGTAAGTAGGATGTAAGTGCCTACTGAATATTGGTATAAATAGGTGCGTTGTGTAAATAGCTTAAAATTAGATAAAATATTTTGAATATTAAATTGCATGTAGAAAATAGTAATATACTTTATGGCATTGATTATAAATACTTATAGATTGCTCACTGCGGCACAAAATAAGTTGCATTGAATTTACTAGCGAGCCTGGTGTTGTTATCCAGAACTAATTAGGCGACCAGGTTATAAGATACGCTCTTATAACCTGGCTACTTTGCGATCTATATTATTAATAATTCATGATTATAGTTAAACATTTAAAATGTAGGGACTTTCAATTATTTTTAAACAACTTAAAATGTTGAAGGAAAAGTTATTTCTTTTTCATTTAAGTATAACTTAATAAAACTTCTTATAAAGAACATTGTATTCAATTTCAAGCTCCATCTAATATTAACTAAACTGAACATTTTATGAGTTCTTAAGTGCTTAACATTTTTTTCTAAATGTTATCATGTTTAGGAAATGTTATTATAAATATTTTGTGAATATTACAATAAAAATTATGTTGTAACGTGTGTAAATATACCAATTTATACCATTGTTTTATAATTATTTTAAAAATCCTACATATTGAATTTTGCTGTTGGTAAAATCAAATTACTAGTTATTAGTATAGATTTATTGATAATATGTAAGTATTTGTTACTAAATTGATCACTATAAATTCGTCTGATTAAAAATAGTTAAAATATATGCATATTATAAAGAATTAATAAATGCACATTATTGTTTTTGTATCATTTAATATTATGTAATTTGTATGTCATTAATTTAATTTTTTTTCAGTTTGCTGTTTTAGCATGTCTTGGACTTTATGTACTTGTTCATCGTGAATAAACCCTAAATCAATTTTTTGCTGAGCAAAAAGAAAATTTGGAATTCTTTAACTTGTTGATTAAAATTCATGTGATGTGTGTTGATTGAGAGCTGTTTTTTTTTTTTAAAAATAATTTGTGTTATTCAATTATTAAAAGCAGATTATGACAATTTTTTTTCAATTAAGCCAAACTTAAAAAATCTATATATGAAGGTTCAAATATATTATTTAAATTTCACATAAATCTCAAATATTAAAATTAAAATAATTGATTGTTGTACATAATTATTATTATAAATTGCAATTTATTATTAGGGAACATTAAATATTTTCAATTATAAACTACTATGTTAATTTGTATAATTTTACTATATTATTAATGTTAAATTATAATTATTATAAACATTTTAAAAATAGTTCTCTAGTCGTTCAAAATAGATTAGTGAAAACTAATAGAAAATACTACATGTATAATAAGTAATATAAATATTTAATTTATTAAACTTTTAATTTCCTTTCACTGTACATTATTTTTTTTTTTTTTTAATGATAGGCATTTGGTTTGTTCGACTTTAAAAAATAAATGTTATCAAAAACTTATCAGGTTGTTATTTTTAATATTGTCATCTATACATTTTTTAAAAATTTTCTCATGCCTTATGTTTTTAATCAATAAATCACTGATGATTGATAATTTATTTTTATTATTGAAATTGTTTTATTTATTTTTGATTATTTTTGTATTATTAGTTGAAAAATCTTTTTTCTTAAATACTTCTAAATAATAAGTAGACCAAATGATTATGCTGTATTAACTATAAGCTCATTATTAAACACTGTTAGGCTTAGATGATATGTTAGTTAGCTGGAGTTTTCCTATAGAGTAGAACTGCGTTTCTTAAACTTGTTGATCTGTGGAACGCTTTTTATGTCCACTTATTGTGGAACTTCTACTTTTTTGTATACTGTGTAAGCAGTATAAGTACACTATAAAAATATAGACTATTCCATATACATTATTATTTAATATACAAACATATTTTTTTCTATTATCCAAAATTATAGGAAAAAATTTCTCCACTAGCCGTTACTAATCTTAGAATAGAAGATAGATTAGATTTATAAAGTTATTTTCTTGAGAATTTTGAAAAAAAATCACTTAAGTTTTGCTGAACACCAGTGTTCCGTGGAACAGTTTAAGAAACGCTGGAGTAGAAACAAGGTTAGTGATCATTCTCTATCTAAAATTGTAAAGATGGACAAAGATATTTTTTAATGACTCATTTGAGTAGAAATTAATCATTGGAAGCATCCAAATCTTTCATCTCTGCTTTTCATACTAATTTCCCCATTACACTGTCGCATTTTGAAAGATAATTACCATTGCTAGATTATTAAACAAACAAGATCACTTAATACAAATTATACATTTTCCAAATTTAATACACAATTTAAAGTTTTCCTTTACCCACATTTAGTATTTACTATTTTCCTATGGATTTAAAATGTTGAAGCAACAGTTACATCAACCATGAATAATATATAAAACAAAATTTAAAATATTATTTAATTTTTTTAGATTAATTAGAATTGAATGTGCCTGATTGTGAATTAACATGAAATATTTTTATTTTTTCTATTAAATAGAATTTGGTTGTCGTAGAAAAGTATTTGTTTAATTTAATTTATTTCATTTTTGAATGTGAAATTTAATTTAAATGTGATATATTTTCTAAAATAAAAATGTTATGTAATCAAGATATTGAATGGGAGTATATACCCGTAGAAACAGCTGATGAAATTATGTTGTGCGGAGATGTGGTTGAGAGTAAACGTCTAAAAAATTGGAATAAATGGCTTAAAATAAGAAAACAACAGCATAAACACCTTGGTCTAATGGTGAATATTTGACTGTACTATAAATGAATTTTAAAAACACATTTTACAGGTATGTCGTAGTTCTACATCATTGTTAATGAATGAATCTGATAAATTCAGATCAAAACTTGAATGTAAATGGCTGGTTGATGTAGCACTCAAGTTAAAAGCCAATAATGAATATCGTACAGATTTTCCTTATTCGGTCGATAAAGAAATAAAAAAATTTACTAGTGTATACACACCAGATGTAATACTTGCTGAAAAAGGACTATTGGGCATTAGGAAAGATGCTCGATTCGATTTGCAAACACCCAATAAAGTGTTGATTTATAATGAATTAAATACTTTAAAAACTTTAATACCTTTTAAAAATCCTGAAAAATTGGCTATTGTTGGAGAAAATATTCTTAAAAAAGCTATGAAACACAAACTTGATTATAAAGGTACTATTCCATCAGTTTATGTTGAGGCTGCTCATAAGAAAAATAATTATTGTAATATTGCACTAATTGTCGTTAGAGTAAATGATTATATTATAAAATCAATTGATGACAGCACTAAATGCATGACGATGAAGTTAAAAACAAAATCAAAACCTATTAATATGGTAAAAATAAATGAAGTTTCTTGGGATGAGATAATAATAGAAAACTGTGGTCAAATAAGTATTTACTACAAATGGATAAAAGAAGAATATATAACTACAAAATATGATTGTATTTTAAAAGAAAAACCAAAAGAATGTTTTTTTTTTGACACCAGGACCAATATTTTGGGTCCCGGTCAAATCAAACGTTTAAAAGTTTTATTCAAACCTACACAAACTGGACCTCACAGAGAAATATGGTTTTTACAATTAAATATCATGGGAAGATTAGATCATATAGCTAGAATCAGTGTACCTCTACAAGGCTGTGCTATTCACAATGTAGACAACATATCATCTATTATTAAAGTAAGAACCGAAGAATGGTGCCTTCAGCCATTTTTCATGTTTTTTTTTTAAGTTATAATTGTTTATTATCTTGATTATTTCAAAAAAATTAGTCAAACATCTACACGTGCAGTTTAACTAGGTACTATAATTGATCGTTATAAATACGTTTATGGTACCAACTTATGTATTGCTCAGAGGGAAAGATCGGTTTGTTTAAAATATTTTGTTTAATTAGGTATTAAAAATTGTTTGTAAACGACATTGCAAGTATAATTTTGTATATCAATGATGAACTGAACTATCGGCGAACCATTCTGTAAAAGTCCCACGTAGGTTGACCACGAGAGAAAACTCCACTACAAAGATCTACGCCACTTGACTAGGTACCTACCTACTTTTTACTCAGTAGTGTTGTGCCGTTGCAAAGCCACTGTGTTCTAAGATTCCCTAGTAGCATTACGGGGGGTGCCAATTTTTAATGTTAGTTAATGTGAAGGCAGTCCTAAAGGGCTGAGTGAATTCAGAAATTCAATCGGATAGTGAATTACTTCATCCTTAATCTATATTTATGTATGTCTGTATCTGTGGACATATAATTTTATATTTAGTGGTAATTTTTTGTGAAACAGTCTTGTTAAACTGACTTCCTACGCGATTTGATTTTTATAGTTACAATAGCACGTTCAAAAAGATGGAAGGAATAGTCTTTTTCTTTTAGATCTCAATATTTTGATAAACATATAATAAACAATTATTTTATCGAAAATTCTGACTCAAGTTTCTAAAAAATTTATGATATTAACATATCAATTTTCAGAAGTAGATCTGCCACAGAATTTAAGCAGAGTAAATGTAAATTGTGGTTCAATGCGGTTGCCTCAATCATATTTTACTTGTATATTAATAGTCAGTCTTTTTTGACATGTTACTAAAATAATTTTTTTGATGTACACTTTTTAAATAGGTGCCTGCAAATGTACCTTCAGGCAGTGCAGTGCAAATTTCCATTGGCGCCCCAGGGCAATATTATTTGGCACCCCTATTAAACATATATATTTAAACAATTTTACAACTTTTGCCGCCCTAGAGAACTTGTTTACATATTTTTGCTCAGTTTTTCCTCATGTCCACTGGTCCACTAGCAACATTTGCCTGAAATCATCATATGAAATTAGTATATGTAGCCATGTAGGTAATATTTATTCCTCCTCTCATCGTTTTTTTGGATGTTCCTAAAATTTTAAGGATTCTGTTAACGACATAGTTAGGGCCTATTGGAATTGAGACATAACACATTTTTTTCAAAAATAATTAGGGGTACCTATAAAAATTAATTATTAAAACTTTCACAGTTGCAAAATGCTATATTATCTGAAAGAGTTAAGGAATTATATCATACCAAATCAACCGACAACGATCTTAAAAATGTATTTTTGGAAAACAATTCTTCTTTTAGTGAAAAATATCATTACCACGACAAAAAGATGAAATATCTTTACCACGTATTACAAACAGAAAACCCTAAGAGTATTGAAGAACTTCTATGCCAGTGTATGCGACTAAAACAATCACTCAAAGAAAAATGCTTGGATTTAGTTAGTCAAACGGCTGTCACATTGTTAAAAAAGGAAATTTTTTTTGAACATAGTTATATGACTCAACACGAATTAAACGCACATAAAACTATGTATATGACAATGGATTGTATTGATTTGATAATGAGTACTTATGAACCTGATCATTATGAAGTCTGTCAAGAACTGTACAAAAATGTTAGTGGAAATAAAGATAAACCAAAATCGGTGAAATATTCAGGTCGATAATTTTATAACATTTAAAATATTCTAATTTCAGTGTACCTACATATAATATGACCTTTTTTGTGATGATATGAGTTAGTTAATATTGTGTGTTTTATTTTTCTGTTTTTACTTATTTTAAAAAAGGCACTTACCTGCCTAAAAAATTGAATCTAATATTATATGTACCTATTCAAGTATATTGAAATTTGAGTATATCTTATATTGTATACTAGTATACTTATGCATGCATAATACTATTATGTAGATGAAGCCAACAGTTATATAGCCCGGACCATAAGCGCAACCATGAAAGAGGGGGGCTTAGCCTTCAGAAGGTAAATTAATCTTCAAACTCATATTATATTATATCAATTGAAAATGAATAAATATTAAATGATAATGAATCATTATTAACGTACCTATTGCTCAGTAAAATGTTGTAGATGCCTATGTGTATGCACACATTCATAACACTCACACATATTTAAAACATTTTATAATTGTTACTTGTTTCATTAGGTATTTTGTAAAGTATATCTATTTACATAATGTTTTCAAGTTTTATATTTTGTCATCGCAGATAACTCTAATGTCAGTCCATATTTAGTATTAGCTAATAGTAAGTATAGGTAGATAACATAATATACCTACTATGTACCTGTAAAGTATAAACCTTTTTAAAAACAATGATAACACATCAACTTTAAGTTTGTTAAAGAAGACTTGAAACAAGTCGTGTATATAGGTACACTTTCATAGTAATAAATAATAATAAAGTAAACATTTAAATAGAGTACCTAATAATTATAATTTTGTATAGGTTATAAAAATAGACAGTGAATAGGGGTGGGAGCAAAGCTCCGTCGGGTTACTTTGCAGACAAATGTATGGAGGGAGGGTAAAGCCCCTCCGCACAAAAAAAAATTGGACTAGTGGCGCCCCTATATTGTGTTCACAAGATAAATCACCAATTTGTCTTTATTAGGTAGGTATGCAGGTACCTACTAGATAGGATAATCTCCGGCTTCACGGAAGTATTGCAGAATAAGTATCCGCGGAGCCATTAGTTAAAAAATTATTTTAAACATAAATATAATATAAATAAAATATTCAGTATTTTTTTAATGTAATGATAGAGGTCCTGTGTCAACCCAATTTACATGCTTTGGGGGCCGCGGTGAGTGGTGACCCCGGCCTAAATACGCCACTGTAGGATATAAGACAAATGACAATATCATTTTTTTTCCATAATAAACATTAATATTGAAAACTCATTATAACTTATATTTTTATTTTAAAATGTCTAATATTCAATTTTATTTTTAAAATTGTACTTAACAATAAATAAAATATGGCTTCAGCAATAGATCCTAAAAAAATTTAATGAATTTAAAATCTAAATATATTCTATATAGCCTGGTAACTAGAAAAATATTTCAGATGACGAAATATCCGCAGCTGATATTACTATGGAACAAAAAACTGAAGAAATGAGCGAAGAATGGTTTGAAATGATAAAACCCATGATCAAGAAACGGTTAGAATGGGCTGTAGAAAGAATATCAGACTATGATATCCTTTGGTCAGAGTGTAAACATGAAAACCCTAATGATGCTGCTAAGGACGACCGTACAAGAGCGATAGAATCTTATGAACAAAAAGAGTGTAGTCTTTCACTTGTGAGACAATTTTTTATAAACAAATATTTATGATTAGAGTTATTACATAGTGTTATTAAATAATTGTTTACATAGGTATAACCATAATAATGTGCCTATTATTTTTTATTGTGGTTTATCACGATTCACGACTTTGCAAGTGTGCATGTCTTCCATGTGGGTTGTCCTTTGCCTTATTTATGTGTCTTCGTATGCTTTATTTCGAATGATAATAATAAAATAATCATCTATGTTGTTTACAATAATTACCTTAAGCTACTAATTTTGGTGACCGGTGCCAAATAGAATAATAAGAATAAGAAAGCTTATTCTTTGTCTCTGTTCCTCTTAATTTCGCTGCCGGTGCACATTTTAATTTCCTTAAGACTGCTAGCGGTGCTACAAAATTATGCATCTATTTTTCCCTCCGCACTCTACAGGACCATGGTTAGGAACATGTAATATAATAATAATAATATTATATATACATGCTGGTCATGCATTAACATTTGTTTTATATATTTGAGTAGTCCAAAACTTAGTCGAACGGTTAGACTACTCATTGCAAAAATAATAAAGTATAATATTTTTGAGGGATTAACTTATAAATTTGTCGAAATATTCTTTAAAAATTATTGAATATAGGTATCCATTTAAATTTACAATTTTATTTTTGTTTTAAGTCTAATAGAAAGTGAAAATCATAAATTATAAGATCGAAATACCAAACCTCAAAATTATTATTCCACATAATTTTTGTAATAGGTAGGTATTTTACTTAAAGATTACTTAAAAACTATAAAACACAAGTACACAACGCGATATTACCTATATAAATGCGTTTTGTCTATTTATTCCGCTTGAGTCTGAGAGAGAAAACAAATATTGCACTGACATCCTTAATTATTTTATATTTAAGGGACCTCGGCACCTCGCTACTGCTGTAAAGCTATTTTTGTCCAATTTTTAATCTGGAAAACATTTGAATTCAAAAGAAAAATGTCAAATGTCTAGTCTATTTATCGTACAAAACACTGAATAAATATAGTCTAATTTAATTTTAAACAGTAGGTAATTGAAAACTTGAAAATATGGGTTTTATCAAATAATTATTACATACGATCTATATTATTGTATATTTATACAGATATTTTTCTGTTGAGTTCAAATATTTTTTTTGGATTAAAGTATTAAATGATTTTAATTTATTATTATCATTTCATACAATGTTATTATGACTAACTTTCATGTTGTCAAAACAATATACGTATCTGTAGTTTGGAGACACATGATAAAATTAATAGAATGTCCGGATAGTTAATGTATGCTCATATTATTATACTATGTATTAGTACCTATACTTATAAGTAGTAACTGGTTAATATTTAGGAAAGAGTATTAGGAACGTAAGCTTGTATAGAAATATAAACTAACTCTGATAATACAGCACATACTATTTTTTTTTACAAGTGATAACACAATTAATATTAACTAAAATACCGGGGGAACTAGGTCTTTGTTTAGCATGTTTCTAGGATAAATTCACAGGAAACAACACTGATTTATCCATGTGTAAAAATGAAAACCAATTAGGTAAGTATAGGTATGAAAATAGTTTTGATGGTTATATTATTATTTATTTATATTTAATTCTGTAGTACTTACGATATACTAATATTATATTATATTCTATTTTAGTGTATAGAGTACACTAGTACAGGATGTATCAAGATTTAGGTACTTAGATTGTCCATAATTAACATTTTAAACTTAAAATAATAATCTAAATTTGAGCTTTGACACTCAATTTTGATTACCAAATCACGGGCCTAGTGCAATTTAAAATGTCGGCCTGTTAAATAAAATAGTATTGTTAACAACATGGTTATTTAATATACGAGAACACTTCACATTTTTAAGTATGTTTAATAGCGTAATATTTCTATTGAAATCTTTTTTTAAAAAAATCTGTATTTTTGATTTTAATAATATTTGTACAAAACTAAACAAAACGTATTCAGATCAAATTTTATTAAAGCGTTCACGAACATTTCTGTTCTGAAAAGTCTTCAATAATATCGTCGAAACTTAGGTTTGCTGTTACCTATATCATTTAATAATTTTTATTGATAATATTAACAGAAAATTTAAATATTTTCGGCCCAATAATGATTTTTATAGTGAGAGATCAAAAATCAAAATATAATAATTTATTTTTACAAAAGTGTTTAAACCTAACAAATAACGACGATAGACTACAAAACGACTATCAGGTGGTACGTGGTAATAATTTACGAAGGTACTTTTTAAAAATGTTGAAAATTTTTTATCCAGTCAAGAGTCAACTAATGGAGAGTGGAGGAAGGATAACGAATGTACCCACGTGCAGTTGTCTGTTTCTTTGTACAAAATGGAATTTGCAGGTAATTACAACTAAAATGGAAATGTCTTTACACTAAACATGTGTTTATTTTAAAATTGACTGTTCCGAAATTTGTTACCTAGAGTCACAGGCGGATATCTCCATTAAAAAAACAAGGGGGGAGGGTATAATAATTTTAGCATCAAGACGAGCGGGGATTATCGATCCCTCACAACTAAAAGCCTGTCGATTTTTTCCTGGGATTTTTATTCCGTTATTCCGGCAACCGACACTGACCACTGACACTTTAACTTACAGAAATAGCTGACATATTGCATAAAAAAACCACGAATTAGGATATACTACGGATTAAGGTAAATACCTTATTACTAAATTCTTTAGTATATCTTAGTCCGTGGGATAAATATTAATACAAAACCAACGAGCAGTAATCAGCGCCATCTAACGGCTTGCCTTCATGTTGCAAGAAACATATGTACAGTGATAAGCTCCGGGACACAATTGATAACACTAGGATTTGCAAATCGCAATTCCCATTATCAATATTTGCATTTCACTATATAGTTATAGACTATTATAGTTTACCTCGATAGTACATTGCTATATAGGTGCATAATATTCGTCATACTCGTATTATAGTTTTCTTTCATCAAAACAATACGGATTGTTGAGTTGTTGACTGTTTCATTTTTTTCTGTGTTGTTTCAATGAAGTACTGTAGCGTGTACTTGTATTAATTATTGAGTATTTAACATAAATTGTTTTCTTCTTTTTACAATTTTCTTTTTTATTCAACATTTCTAAATTCATTACACCTTATAACTAATTTATTTTAATTTAATTTCCCATAACCATTGTTTTGAATGCGTCGTTAGTTATGATAGGGAGATCAAAATGGTACTTAGTGTTTACGATCCTATTATGGAGTTGTATGGACGGTTAGTATTATAACACCTTTTTTGTAGATGATTCATATGCTATGGGTTGATTGACTTTTGTTAATATTGTGGTTTTTCTTATACTTTTACCTTTCTAGTTTATGGTTATCAACTAATTCTGGACAATAACAGTCCAGTAACTACTGGTTCAACAGTTATCCTGAATGCTACAGTTGTCGATAACAATGGTTTATGTGCTAGAAGAAATCTGTTGTTTAATTATGAAGATGATGCATTCCCAAGTCATAAATTGGAAGTATGTTCTGAAACATTTTAGTTATTAGTTTTATTTATTTTTACTTTATGTTGATTATTATCTATTAGCTCTAATATTTAACCTATACGACTATACCTTATAAAATAAAGTACCTAAAAAAATTTAGTTTGTCATTTTGCTGTTAGGACATTTCTAACATATCTAAAATGACATGATTGTGTATTATTTAAAATTTTAAAATTCAATTTATAAATAGTTAATACCTAAGTACAAATGTTTTTAACTAAATCAAAAACAAATTGAAATGCTGTATTTGAGTACCATTTGTTGTTATATTTTTGATTTTTATAGGTAGATTAAAACATTAAAAGCTCAAAATAATACTTCTCAAATTCATAATTTGTACCGAGTAACCTAACCATTAATAAAAATAAAAACAATGAAAATAATTTTTATTTTCATCTAGGTGCCTAATGCATCTAATAAATATATTTTTTACTTCTGTTTTCTATGTAATTGTATATAGAACTGTTTTTGTACATTTCATGTTTACATGTTTTAATTAGCAAGAAATCTCAATCCTAGTCATCCCAAATGTAGTTCCAAGGCTGTGTGCCAGATTTTGGTTGCAAATAAAATATTTATAAGAATAATGCATGAGACAATTTCTATCACAAAATTAATTTTCTTAAAAAACATGAACATTTATTTACTAAAAATATATCAATGAATGCTTCAGAAAAATATACAACTTTTATCCCACATACGATTGGTGGATATAATATTTTTATTTCTGTCCGAGTCTTGGAAATAGTTTAACTTTTGGTTTTTTAAATTTTAGATCAAAAGTAAAAATTGTGAAGCAATATTCTACATATCATTTGATACAACAATTGGACCTTCAAATTATAGATATAAAGTAGTCGTTTCAGAGGAATTAATTCCTTTTGTCTACCACCCAATTACCAGTGGTCGTGGCGAGTTAATTGTTACAGGTAACATAGTTTTAAATTTTTAACTATTTAATTTTTGTAAATGAAAACATATAGAATTACAATTAGAACAATTATAATGTAGTAGCTATGATAAATATGAATATTATACATTTTATATTACAGAAAATTTGAATGGTGTACTTCAGCTATTTCAAAATAACACAAACATTTCAAAAAATTCTCCACAGACTATTTATGTGTCTACTAATTTGGAAACTGTTCACCAAATTAAAATCAATGCTGCCGATTTAGATTATCTTAATAAAAGTGCCAATTCAACCTCTGTTTACTGGTTTGTTGATTGTATCTACCAAGAAAATACAACAAGTTTTACATTTATTAGTAACTATAGCGAACCAAGCATTCAGCATGAAATTCTTGGCATTGTAGTAGCCAATATTCCCTCATCTACACCTACACCTCCACCTACAACTACAACTACAACTACAACTACAACTACAACTACGCCTCCACCTACAACTATGACTACACCTACCCCAGTATCCACAATCAGTCAAAATAATTCTACTGATACTAATACTACTATTGCTGATTCTATATCTACACCTTCTACTACTGAAGCATCTTCTAACACTGATGTTACATTTTCTCATCATATAATAAATTCAACTTTTACTACTGAATGCCAGCAAAAAAAACATGTTGAATTGTTATTATCTGCAGTTAAATTAAAAAACCAGCAAAAATATGGATATTTTAGTCGTTCTCTGCTTACCAAGGGTAAATATTAGCTTGGATTTTGATTTTTAATAATTCATAGTTTGAGTTGATATGAAATATTTATATCTTACACTTATTTAGATCCAATAGCAAATGTTAAAACTCAAGGAAAAGTGTGGATACAAGAAGGTGAAATGTTAAATCTTCTGGTAATGAATAAATCATATTATAAATAGTAACATTTATTTAATTAAACATTAATTAATCACTAGGTGAACTGTAATGGCAGTGGTCCTTTCCGTTATTGTGCACATTATGTTGAAGGACCTTATAATGTGACTGGTAATGAATCTTGTTTATGGGACAGAAATTTAGTACAATGTCAAATGCAGTTTGTTCACTATTTCCGTGAGCCTACCAATTATACACTTATTGTGATTGTAGCTAATGACGTTTCAAAAGTTGTAACACCTATTGGAATTAATATTTATAAAGGTAATCATTATTTTTTTCATGAGTTATTACAATACATTTTTTTTAAATTATAATTTTTTCTTATTTTTAGTACAAAAGCAACCACAAATATCTGTCATTGTTGTACCTGTAACTTTCAGTTCAATTGCAGTAATTATTGTTGTGTTCGGAATAGCTTACTACTTTCAAAACAGATCAAGGTACTACTAATATTTAAATCCTATTTATCCAAACAACTAAACATACCTTTCAACTTTATATATTGACTGCTCTCACTCAATTGAAAATATTATTTACTTTCCATGTTATTATTTTTTATATTGAGTATTAAGTCATGCAGATGTAGAGTATTATGTTAAACTACTTATATAAAAGTTACATATACAAATTTCTGAGTAAAGCTGAGAATAAGTTAATAATATCTTGATTAACGACAGTTAATAAATAATAACGTTATTTAGTTTAATAATGATATGCGGTTTTATTTCATAAGCATTGTTCATAATCTAATGATGCTAATTTGTTTGTGCTGTATATAGCAAACATTTTATTTAGGAAATTAAATTTTTGCCATAACCATAAAAGAATTTATCTTCCATATACTCATTAAATTATAATAATATACCATCATAACTTTTTATAGGTATATGGTAGAAGTAGCAGATTTTGATTTTGCCAATAACTCCGACATGGAATATAAAACATTTAGAGAGCGTTTGCGTGATGCTATAACCCAAGCTATTAACCGTACACAAGACTATTCAGAGTATGATGGCAGTGAAGAACAAATTGGTAATTTGGCTGCACCCCAAAATCAAAAATATGGTAGTATGCAATGACCAAGCATTGTAGTTGGTCCAAACAGATGTAATGTCTAAATGGCTATACATTGGACTGACATATGAATTTTAATTCTATAGTGTAACTTTTTTGTTGCTGTTCCTTCAAAAAAAAAAAAAAATATTGACAAATAACTTTTTGGCATTCCAAATATTTTTAATTTAAACTTATAATTTATTGTTTTCTGTACACAATATATTATTATTTTTATGAAGACTTATATATTAAACATAATCATCACATTTTAACAACACACTTGAATAATTGAAGTCTTAGTAATTATCTTTTTTTAGTTTTGCAATAATAAATAAGACTTAAGTTATGTATAGGAGTAACTACAATCATTTTTATTTGTTTTAAATTCATTTTATTTATTTAGCATTTAATTTTTTTTACTAATGTACATTTTTTAGCAATTAACTTCCCAATTTGAACATTTTCTATATCCATCTTGAAATTCTTTATAGTTACTCCATGTATGTCATTAATTTATTTGGTTGTAAATAATTTTTAAGTAGGAATTGTAAATTTTCATGTTTACCTTTTACTTCTGAACCTTCACTTTCGTCATAATCTTGAACTTTGATTATACATGTACAATGTACATCACTGTGTATTCCCATTTGTATGTGTTAACCTTATAGAATAATAGAAACACATAGTAGCTCACCTGTATTTATCAAAATATTATTAATTAAAATCAATAAGTTTTAAACCTGATGATGCCAATTAATATATTATTATTTTATTTATTTGTATTCATATTGTGTAAAAACTAGATTGAATGATAAATTTATTAATATAATTATTGTTATTTTTTAAATATAATAGTTTACTTTAGCAATGTATCTTGAGACATTTTAAACTAATGACAATACCTAATTTCCAAGTGTTATTCAATTTAAACATTTTTAAACGTACAAAATTTTTTTACCTCAAGGCATAATAATATCATTAAATTAAATTAACTTTTCTTATGTTCTTCAGTATCACTTATAAAAATGTAATCAATTATATTATTTACTTTGACATTTTTTTTATTTCAATTTTAACCGTGAATAATATACATTATATTTTATTTATTTACATATCCTATTAATAACTATGTGCCAATATTTATAGTAAGGACAATATGCCACAAAGGCAATGACAATATATGCATTATATCTTATCCTAATTAAAAATGTCTCATTTTTTAAAGGTTAGACTTAAGTTAATTTATTTAACATGTATTATTATTGTACTACATAGATAATGGTTGAGTGCCATTCTATTTTTTATTTAACAGTTTGTTCAGAGTCTAATATGCTCAATGGTTAATTTCTTAGCTCATTAGTAAATCTTATTAAATTGAATTATGTGTTTTTTTTCTGCATTACATCTTGTAATTTATTTTTCAATTTCATGTTTCAACGTTTTCTAGTGTAATTAATTTATAAGATTTTATTTTTATTCATTAGAAAAATGTAAAAGTCTAATTATTGTTGTAAATAGTTATATTTTGTAAAAATATTGGATTTCTAAAATTATACAAATTTAATATTGTTACCCACATAATCCATTATTGATCAAATTATTATATTATATAGTTCATTTTTTTATTCAAATAATTGTTTTTATTTTATCTGTTTGTGAATTATATAAATTGTATAGAAACCATATTAAATATTGTTAGTTAAATATTCTTCGATTATCAATAAAACGTATGTTCACATTGTATACTAAAAAATTAGTATGTTATCATATTATTATATCTTCATAATAAATATTAAATAACAATATTCAATTAGATGTTAAAAATACAATATAGACAACTACAACTATTATAAACATAATTAACATTTTTCCTTTGTTTGTATAATAACCAACCTAAAATATTAACTATTTTTTAGTTTTTACAGACAAAACTGTTCATATTAGAATGATTGCCATGTACTTTTGTACTATTTTCTTAGTACACGGTAAATATAGGTAATGTGTGTGTCTAACACAATACTTTCATTTATTTTACTGTTGCTGTCGTTAGTATTTATCCAGTTATCCTTAACGTTATTGTCCATTGCCTAATCCATAAAGTTAATCATTATTATTCTTCATTCTCCATTGTCATTATCTCCAAAATTAACAACCTCGACAGTGTAAATGTTTATACATAGGTAAGTTCTCAAACAGAAGCATCATGTCTTATGCGAAGACTACTTGGTAGCTACCTACATCTCATTATTTGTTCCGTCTCTTCACTATTATTCCAACTTAACACAAGTAAAGTAGGGGGTATTCAATCAACTTCATTTATCGCAAATAGTATTAGTAGAGTTTACCTCTTTTTGGATATAACAAAACAGGTACTTAGAGGTAGGTACTTACAGCGCCTGTGTGCCATCAATACTTGACAAAGTTACTTTAGTGGTTAGTAACATCGTCAATGACGTCAATGACGATTCGTCATGCTTCGTAGTTCCTCTCAACTTTTTTCAAACCACAAGTGTCAACTACACGTCTACACCCCATCGGCACCCATTCGTTCATCCCAACCTCTCTAGTATTGTATTGGCGTATTATGATATAATTATAACACTATCTGGTTCGTGAGAGATAGAGAGCGCTACATACACATACTTATAATTATTATACCTACGTACTCCGGTAACGTTCCAATATGCGACCTACACACTGATTTACGGTACAATATGCGACTTACGTTATAAATGTAAAATACAAATAATTTATTATGAAGCGTATTTTTCATATCAGTCAAAAATTCATCAAAAATGGATTTTGGATTTTGACACGATCTCCACCACTCTTCTTGGAGTTGTCTATCTGGTAAAGGAGACGCCCCATTTTTTTTGATATTATATTTGGATTTCACACTTCTCCATAAACCTTCAATTTGTTGAGTGTGTGCTCCTGTTTCCGGGTCAATAAAAAATTCTGAATGGTAAACTGTTTGATGGATATATCCATGATGATTTAACGTTGAGTACGCCCACTACAAATTGTCGTTCCAGTTTTAATTTCATTTTTAATAATTTGTAAAAGAGTTTTTCTACTATAAAAAATCGCCATTCTAATAATAAGTCTGGCCGTTTCCAACAAATTCCAAATACCCATGGGCCTACAATACGATTCCCATAATTTTTATTATAAAGAAACCTGTAGATCAACTCAATCGTATCGGTAGGTCCAATAACATTTGTAGGTCGTATATTAGACCGTTACCCGTACTCCAAAATCGTTTTCTAACACTACTAAGAGCATTTTAATTTTTTCTACATCGTACTTTTCGCTTATACATTAGGTACTTGTAGGGCGCATTTACAGTGGTACTTCGGATAGGGAAAACATTTTTTGTTACATTGAACAGGCAACTACATTTTTCAACAAAATTAAATTTAAAAAAAGAGTTAGGTATGTGACAAGTAGGTCCTTATATCTAGAAACCTAAGTTATCATGATTGACGATGATACATTATTATAATATTTTTTTTCTATATTGGGCACTTCAAAAATCAGCTCTTAAGTACATTGTTTTATGACCAGAGGAATTTTGAATAGGTGGAGGGGGGAGTCAACTTTTTTAAATATAAAATAATCAATATGCATTATGAATTAAAATTAAAATTATATGTAAGTAGTAAGAACATAATATTATAATATTTTGCTAACGTGTCCATGCCCAACGGGTTCAACCCTTCTCCCCCTCATTGATCACGCATCTGATTACGACACCTTAACTTTTCAATAACAACAAAAATCGAGTAGGTACAGCTTTATTTTTATTTTTTTTTGGTTAATTTTTATTTATCACAATGATACGATGAACGAAATTTGTCTTATTTATTTATTGAATATGAAATTAAATATGTAATGTTGAAATGATTTAATGAACATTAAACATTAAACAACCAAACATCCATTTATAGATCCAAAGTTTTAGATTTTTATTTTTCAATCTCCAGCAGTGTAGAAATGGAAATTAATTTCTCATTTTATGAATGGTTTCTCTTATAGGTTGATTTCTTAGTTTGTCTGACTTGAGATGGTACGCTCTACTCAAGCACTCAATGGTGGAATAATTAAAGCTCTTTTACAAAAAGTAAATACCTATATCTTTTTTTTATTATTATTATATACACAATCTGTACCTCATGGGTACAATAAGAGTATTAGCTGAGATAATATAATACATGAAAAGTCTTGATCCATCCAGTGATGACACTTAAATATTGAGGTTATACATTAGTTTATAAATATATATACGAATTTATTTATTCATCTGTTTTTTATATTATAATATTAAGTTAGCATATCTCTACACCAGTTGCGTTTTAAACGCCTTGGAGGATTACCCGGAATAACATTTGCTGAAGCCTGAAAGAATACTTTAGTTAAAGGATTGGGATGAGATGCAAGCCGATTATGGAATCTTTTATAATAAGTGACTGCTTCTTCTTTAACAGTTTTGATTTTCAGGTCCGTGTGAAGAGTATGATTCGAAACGTAAGAGGGGGAGTTCGTTAATTTTCTTAGTGCAATATTTTGAAAAGTCTGAATACAATTTGTATTTGATTTTTTTGCATTTCCCCAGAGTTGGAGACCGTAGGTCCAAATGGGTTTGATGAGGGATTTATACATTAGTAGTTTAATATTAAGGTTGGTGTGTTTGTTATTGACTAAAATACCTATATCTGAAAAATACATTTTATACGTCTCTAACATGTAGGTATCAACTATGCCAGATTAATTTGGTATGTATTTTTATTATTTCACATTTATTTTCTTCGGTGTATCTTTTAATCAACCTTTGCAGTAACTTTAATTCTGCTTTTAAGTTTTATCAAAAATGACGTGGATTTTAAATTTAAATTTGACAATTTATTGTAAATAGGTAAAGTAATTTTAATCGGGTATCAAATTCCCTCCATGTCCCCCACGTAGCGCCATTACTGAAGTAAAAGAGGTATTTTTTTCATGATTTCAGTCAGTCGAAGTTCTTCGCGGAGAACTATAAGTACAGAGATGGTATCAAAAATATTGGGGATGCGCCAACTGGACGAAAATGGGATTTTTGCTGACATACCTATTTATTTTGTCATGAGGTATTTAATAAAGTACCTACCTAGGACCTACCTATCTTTTTCACTAGTCGACATCCCTTAGATCATACACGTATATGTATAGACCTATGGTGATAATCTAAGCACCAGCCATTCTGGAGTGTTAATCTTTAAATGTATTTTTTTAAATAAGTTTCTGATTCTATTATTTCTATTAAAAGTCGACAAACTATTACAAATTTTATTAGGTACCTACCAACTTTTTTTTTTAGATTTTACTGCGCTATCAAAAAAAAAAACCTACAATTTTATCTACCAATAATTTGTGATAAAAACGTGTGAGTCATAACTTACTCAACAGTAGTACCTACCTACGACGATGATATGAATACGTCTATCTATAGGGCACAACCAAAACACAATAATACCTAGGTAATCATAATTTATATTAACGTTTGTTATGTAAGCGTTCTGCATACATGATGTATAAATATTAATTAAATAATAATTGTTGTACAATTATGACTATTAGCCGGTCGTACATAAAATAAAATATTTATTTTATATTATAGTAGACAGGTAAGTAGGTACATAAATACGCCATGCGTATTCTACGCAGCGCATCTGTATAAATGGCAAGGTTATT